TGAAAACAAAATTTTATGCATCTTTGAAGTTTTACTACAAAATTTAATTATATAACCATTCAATAATCTTTTAATATCATTTATAGACTATATTTCCTAGCACAAAATTACTGAACTAGATAAGAAGTATATTTTGCAGTCTAATTTTTTAATACCTTAGATTACACTGTTAGTGAAAGAGTTAAAAATCATGTCTTCAACAATTTACTCATCTACAGTGTATGACTATGAGTAAGAAAATCCTGTTTCTTTCTGAACAAAACACACACTCACACATATACTTGAAAGTGAACTACAAATCAGCATTTTTCCTACAAGAAATGGATCAGCTAAAACTAATACTGTCATAAGTCAACAGTTCATTATTATTACATACAGATAAACAATTTCGGACACACCTAAGTTGGATTAACAGTATATCTTGGCAAATGTAGTGACTGTTGTGTTTAAAAAGAATAACCTGTGTTACAAACAAACAATATAAAAAATGTAAAATTAATATAACGAACAAGTGGTCTAAGCTTTAAAATACTTTGAGATATACTAACCATCTGGTTGTTTGATGCCTGGAGTAATAGACCTTAAGAAGTCTTCTGGGGTCATGAACAGTTCTGTATATCCTTGTTCATTACAGACACGAAGAGTTGCAAAATATCGAAAAATTTTATCTGGTGTTGAGTAGGCTCTGATTCTGTTTTCATATTCAATAATCTGTAACCATAAAATCAAAATACAATGTTAATTTGATACTAAAAACCCTCGATTAACCCTTTCGAGACAGGTCATGGGTAAAAGGCCATGTCATCTCCTTTGTTGACTCGCATTCAAAATTTTATTGAACTACTATTTCATGAACTTATGTCAATAACTTTGGTATCAAACAGTAAATTATAATTCAAGTGTTAGTACTGTATAGTTTCTTAATTTAAAAGCAAATATTAAAAAAACACAGATAAACATCGATTTTTGTGTGTCAAGTGATATGTTGAATTCAGCACTGGTTCAAATTAGATGTTTGTGAAGTGAAAATACTAAGTCTATAGTTTCGTACGAATAAGAAACTCAAATGCGTCATTGTAACTTCTGTATTGTTAGCCAGAAACGGCTGAAAGGTCAATATAATAAAAATAATTAACATATATAAATGTATAATGTTATGAGATTTAAGCTATTTAGTCTATAAATCATGTTTTCGTGTTATAATGTGTTCATTCTAGAATGGAAGAGGCATAATTTAT